AAGACTAAACATGCCCAGGTTTTTAAGCCTTTCTCCATAGGTCAGGTTTTCTAAACCTTTTCTCATTTTTGTTGCTCTCCTCTGGACACTCTCCAATTTGTCCCCACCTTTCTAAAGTGCGGGGCCCAGAATTGGACCCAGTACTCCAGCTGAGCCCTCACCAGCGCAGAGCAGAGTGGAACAATTACCTCCAGGCAGTACAAGCCTCCGCAGGAGGAGTTGTATTGTGGTGGCACCCAGAGGCCCTGACCAAAGATTGTGCTAAGTGCAGTGCACACGCATGATAAAAAAGACAGTCCTCACCCCCAAAGAGCCTACAAATGAGCCAATGCACAGCTACCCCCGGTGGCAGCATTTAAGGGACAGGCCCCTCCCTTTGTCCGAAATCTAGCCTACATTTTTAAGAGTTTCTGCTGCATACTGGTCCACTCCAGCAGTACACGGCTGCTTATTCCTCCCTGAACAACCTCTTGCTGGAGGTTACTTAGAGATCACGGTCCACTGAAATAAAACTCCCATTGCAGTAGAACAAGGACATGCCCGACTCAAAGCCGTGAAGAGAAGGCCTACGTATCAACAGCAGCGTAGCCGGTCAGACACGGCTTTGGCAAGTTGCGTGCCCTGCATGTCCGAACCCCTAGGATATATACCCTCCCCGGCTCTCTACATGCCCACGCCTGGCTTCCCATGCCTACCCTGCTATTTTTAGCAGGATAGTATCCTGTTGCCTCCGGCTGTCCCTTCCTCCCCTGCCACGGGAGGGTGATGCAGCCCCAGAATACAGGACATCCAGGTACTTCCGGAAGGGCATGGCCCCAGCCCTGCCAGTGTGGCTCGGCATGCATGGTGCATGCCAGGTCACGCCAGTGGGGTTGGGGGCAGAGCAGCATGCGCTGCAAAATGGCATCCTGTGTCTCCCACAATGAACCCAGACCATGGCCCCTTTTCTATCAGTACCGGACAGGGACAAACCTCAGAAAACTGAGACTGGCTGGCTTCAAACCAGCAAAGAGGCCTGCCCAACTGCTAGTGCCCTGCCCCATAGCCAGAGCCGTTCCCTGGGGCGTACAGCTCACGCGCCATGCCTGTACGCCATACGCTTCTGCGTGCAGACCGAACTGACGTCAGTGGCTGGCTTCACTGTCCTATGTGTGTGACTTACCCTGAGGTTTAAAAAAAAGGCACCGTTTTGAGCAGTGAAGTCGAGGCCCCAGTAACACATCAGAGCGCTGCCGGATTGGTGGTCGGTGCCTTGCAGCATCCGTGCTAGGAGGCAGTCTGCAGGGAGCAGCGCTCCTCCCTGGGGTGGACACCGCGGGGTGTTGATGAGTGCTAATGTGCTGAACTGGCTCCCCGAGCATCAGTGGTTACAGAGGCCTCGTGTTACGGGTTTCCTCCCAGCCGGGAGCTGGCGAGCAACGGATCTAACGTGCCTGCGGACAACTCAGAAAGTGACTGTGTCAGGGGGCAGGTTTCAGAGGAACAGCCGTGTTAGTCTGTATTCGCAAAAAGAAAAGGAGTACTTGTGGCACCTTAGAGACTAACCAATTTATTTGAGCATGAGCTTTCGTGAGCTACAGCTCACTTCATCGGATGCATACCGTGGAAACTGCAGCAGACTTTATATACACACAGAGACTCCAGCGAGAAACTGCTGAATTGGAATTCATTTGCAAATTGGATACTATTAATTTAGGCTTAAATAGAGACTGGGAGTGGCTAAGTCATTATGCAAGGTAGCCTGTTTCCTCTTGTTTTTTCCTACCCCCCCCCCCCAGATGTTCTGGTTTAACTTGGATTTAAACTTGGAGAGTGGTCAGTTTAGATGAGCTATTACCAGCAGGAGAGTGAGTTTGTGTGTGTATGGGGGTGGGGGGGATGTGAGAAAACCTGGATCTGTGCAGGAAATAGCCCGACTTGATTATGTAAAGAGTTGTCACTTTGGATGGGCTAGCACCAGCAGGAGAGTGAATTTGTGTGGGGGGGTGGAGGGTGAGAAAACCTGGATTTGTGCTGGAAATGGCCCACCTGATGATCACTTTAGATAAGCTATTACCAGCAGGACAGTGGGGTGGGAGGAGGTATTGTTTGTGTTACAGGGAAACCCAAACTGGCCTGGGGAAGAGACTGAGGGGAATCCAGCTGGGGGGTGAGCCAGGGGGCTGTGCTGTGTGAGGGAGAAGGGACAGCCAGGGGGTGAAGGCAGTGTGGTGGAAGGGGCGCCAGAGGGCAGGGGAGAAGGAGGCAGGTGTGTGGAGGGCAGTGGGCATTGGGGAGGGAGCAGGTGAGGCCTATGACAGGAGGGAGGGGAGCGGCAACCGCCCCAGCCGGGCAGTCGGAGCAGACGCTTGAGGCACAATGGCCTGGGGGAAGCTTGCATGGCTGCAGCCCCGGTCGCCCCTATTCTAGGCACAGAAGCTTGGTCTCCGGGGCTAACAATCCAGCCTTTCGCGAGCACGACGTTCACAGTCTCAGACAGAAAAGAGCCGAGGCTGCTGCTCCGTCCCCAGCTCAGGCACCGTGCTGGGCCCCGCAGCCCTGGGGAAGCCCATGCCTCGTTCTCAGGGCTAGGCTGCAGTCCAAGCATCGGCCTTCACTTTGAACGCCCCGGCTTTCAATGGCTTAGAATCCCAGCTTGCTGGCCTGCAGATGGGCAGCTCTGGTGCCTTTAAAATAGTTGCAGGTGGGCAGTAACGCTGGGGACAGGACTGAGCCCTTAGTGCCAAATCCTGGTGTGAGGGTGGTTTCCTTTCTACGGTCACTTACAGCACAGCAGGGCATCCAGGGAGGGGCAGTTCACAGGTTACATCACAAGAAACTCACCTGGCTCCTTGCTTTCAGAATTCCCTTTGCAAACTTCTCTATAGAATTATATGGATGTAACTAAAGCTCCCGCTCCCTTCTCCACGAATGCCCAACCGTGACTTCTCCTATAGCTTCTCCGCGCAGCTCCCGGAAGCAGCAGCATGTCCCGCCTCTGCCTTCTGCGCACAGGGGCAGCCAGCTCCGCACACTATCCCCACAGCTCCCATTGGCTGGCAACCGTGGCCAATGGGAGCTGCAGGGGCAGCACCTGCTAATGGGGCAGCATGCAGAGCCGCCTGGCTGCACCTCCGCGTAGGAGCCAGAGGAGGACCATGCTGCTGCTTCCAGCAGTTGCTTGAGGTAAACGCCACCTGGAGCCTGCACTCCTGACCCCCTCTTGCACCCCTGCCCTCCAAACCCCTTTGTCCTAGCTGTGTGTGTTTTCTACCCTTCTCAGTCTGTTTCTGATTGTTTCTCTCTCTCTCTCTCTCCTTGTCCCATATCTGTCCCCCACACCTCTTTATCCCCGAAGCAAATTCAGTAAACACCCCTCCTCCCGAGGCATTAGCATTCCCATGTGGCCTTTGTCCTGGAGACCGCTACTGCTTCTTGAAGATCACTTCTTACATTTAACCCAAACGAAGGGCCTCTGAGCCATTCGTCAGCATAAGGGGTTTTATCCCCCAATAGAACAAAATAAATTCTGATTATTCCTTACAGGTTGCTGGCAATGTGAGTAAGAACCCTAATGAGAATAGCTGGGTCTATAACAGCCTCCCATGAAGGTGCTTCAAACCCCAAATTAGGCATTCTCTGATGTCCTTCTGTTTGTCCGTCCCTTCCGGGACTTGGAGCAAATGTTCCGGGAAACCAACACACCATAAACCAGACTTTTACCAATCTGGAGTCGCTCTGTTGATTTTACGCTAAGATAAGTGGGAGCAGAATCTGGCCCAGCAAACTGCCTCTTTTGTCAGTGGAGTAATTGGGTGGATGAAATACCTGCTGAGAGATATCTGTGTCAGAAAGGAGTTCTCCCTGATTGCAAACAGTGCTGTATAGACAGAATAATCTGAGTAGGGCGCCCACTGCATTCTCGGCATAAGCACTGGCCTTTTATTTGTGAATTGTGGGCCCTTACTGGTTTTTTAACAGAGCCTGAATTCCATGACAAGGAAGCTACAATTTGCAATGCCTTGTTACATAGCTACACACTGTGTGGTGAAATGGCTCAATTAAAAACATATAGGAGTAGTTCCGTAATAAGAGGTCATCTTTCCCTATTTAATTCAAATAAATCTATGCCAACCTCCACGAAAGGGTGACCAGAAAGCTCATGTGATTTCATAGGCCCTTCGCCACTCCAGCTCCTAAAATCAGCTTGCTTCCCACTGCAGGAGACTCAAAGCACTTTGTGATCTCAGATGCCTCAGTTGAAACAGGGTTACTGGTCCCTTAAATTAAATGGGGCCCAGAGCTCCGGTTCTACCAGGTGCATCTGAGTTTAGTGTGATGATGCGGGTGGGGCTGTTATAAATGAGAGACAACAGCCCAAAGGCAAGTGAGGGAAGACCAGGGGGCATCCAGTGAAGGGGAGAGAGTGCAGAAGAAGAGTGGAGTTGGCCTGAGAGCTTAGTGGTGAGAGAGGTCATAGCAGAAGGCATTTGTGTGGGGCCCACGTACAAACTTCCCTAGGCCAGAGGGAGCTGAAGGCTGGGAGATGCAGAGGGAGATGCCTGCTGGCTCTTTGAGCCAGAAGCTGGAGGCCCCAAAGGGCTGATGATGGGGGAAGGATGGAGAGGTGAGTCTGCTGTGTCTCCAGGCAAGAGGTGGAAACATACCTGAGAAGGAGACAAGATGGAGAAGCACCCCAGCTAGAGGGGCTGGGGTGAGAACTATCAGAGCCATAGCTGAGAGCTGGACTGTGGGGAGAGATGCCAGAACTTTTCTTGGTGTTGATGGACTGTTGGGACTTGTTTTTGACTGTGCTGGGCACTATTGGTATGGTTGTGGGACCTTTTGTAATAAATTCACCCCACTAAGGGCTACGTATGCTCTGAAAGCTTGCCATGGAGTTCCTGGAGTCTCTGGAAGAAAAGGGGAACTGAGGCAGGGGCACCACTTGTGCCATAGTCTGCTGCAGGCAGGGCCCATCACGTGACACTAGTATTTAAATTCTCACCATCCACTTCTAGGGATGCACTTCAGTGGTGAAGCCTGGGTAGCTCGGTAGCCTGGATAGTTATGGCGATTGGCCATGGAATACTGTGTCTACTCTAGAAGATCACATGGCTGAATGTGGAACAGGTCAGTATTGGCTGGGGGTCGCTGACCTCCAGTGGCGCCTTAGTAAATCCTGTGTGAAACGAGTTGGTGGTCTCACCTAAATGAGTGACCACATCACAGTACCCAACACTACAATGCCCCACCCCCCTCAGCAGTATTAGCTAAGACTAGAGCTCAAGCACTGAACGGGCATTGAGGTTTGAACACCTCTCTGATCCTTGAGGTAAGAAGTGGGGCATGTTGACCAAGGAGGGAGGCGAGGTGTAGGGGCATGAAGCTTGTTCTGCTGCTGTCCATGCTCTTCTATGGATAAATACTGCACTCTGGATTCCGGAGCTGTAAAGCAAGCACCTTTCACAAACAAAGCCTGAACCTAGTAATTTCCGAGCATGTGAGTGAGGAGCACTTTATAAAGAAATGTGTCTCTTGCCTTGAAGAAGGTGGCCATTTACTTGTCCCTGGATCGACATCAGCCACTCAACCCCATTTCCAGCTGTCAGATCATCCCTGACAATAGCAGAAAGTAGCTTGAACATGTCTGTGTGCACACCACTCCGCACCTTTCCACCTCTTCTGAGCCAGCGCCACAGGGAGGCTAATGGTTCAAGATGGGATAATATAAGGGCAGAGGTATTACTACACAGTGTCTAGTAAGTCTCTCACTCCAGCTAATGCTGGATGTTTCGGAGAAAGCATAAAACCTGCAACCTACAACAACACCGGAGAAGAGGGGAAATTGTTCCTTAGCCGAGCCAGTGATCAGCTTATTCCTAAAAGCATTAGGGCTCACAGCCTTTATAATGTTGTGTTCTGTGCTGGACCAAATCCCACCACTTAGTTGTTATCATAGCAGCCTGGTGGCCATTTGAAAACCCATATGGCACATTCTGATGATCAATGCGTGAACTGAATTTCTGTCGGAAGCTCCCTGGAACTAAAAATGGTCTTTTCATGACAAATCAGTGAGAACATGTGGAGATACTTTTGGTTGGAAGTTGGGATTTGAACCATGCTTAGGTGAATTATACCAACCACAGGCCTGATTCTCAGAGCTTCTGGGTGCCCCCAACCCGACAGAGTTTGACTGGGGCCATGGATTCTCAGCACTGCTGAAAGTCGGTCCCTATCTCTTTTTGCAGGGAGGGTCACAGGGTTCACAAACCTAGCTCGACTTGCAAACCTTTCCATCCTTTAATGTAAACCCATTTTTCCCCCAAAGGAGATGCAGTGTAAAAATATAGCGTCAGATCCTTAGCTGGTGCAAATCGGCATATGCTAATTTACAGCACGTCAGCGTCTGGTCTGAAATGTGTTGGTCCAATAAAAGATATTCTCTCATTCTCCTTGTCTTTCTAACTAAAGGCTGTTCTGCGTAGGGCCAGAACTCTCCCAGTGAGACTGCCACAAGCAGGAACCCTATGTACAATATACAGACTATTTATGTTCTCATTAAGGTTTTTCTGTCTACTCCTTTTTTCAGTGTCCCTGTGTTATTTCACTCTGCCCTGTCTCTGCTCCATTTCTTACCCTATCTTTCAATTAATGTGCAAATGGGTTTAAATTAAGTGGAAGAAGAACAATTCCAATGTAAGCCTTCCCTTGCAACCATTGCAACACTGAGCTAGTGCAGGAGAGCCGGAAAATGAAACATATACTCACGGGTGAAACCAACCAGGTTGCTTTTGCTGTCTAAATGGAAAGAAATGTAGAAAGTAAGCCAACAGCTTGGATGGTAAAAGGTAAATTAATCTGGTTTTAATTCAGTTTTAGTACCCCAAAGACAAAAATTTCAAAGCTAGGTGCCTAAAATTAGGCTCCTAAATCTATAGTTAGGCATCTACAAATAAAATTTACTTTGGTGCTAAATATGAGTTTGGGAGTTGTCATAAAAATAAAGGGAAGGGTAACCACCTTTCTGTATACAGTGCTATAAAATCTCTCCTGGCCAGAGGCAGAACCCTTTCACCTGTAAGGGGTTAAGAAGCTAGGATAACCTCGCTGACCAAAATGACCAATGAGGAGACAAGATACTTTCAAAGTTGGGGTGGAGGGGCGGGAACAAAGGGTCTGTTGGTCTGTGTGATGCTTTTGCCAGGAACAGATCAGGAATGCAGTCTCAGAAACTCTGTTAAGTTAGTAAGTAATCTAGCTAGAAATGTATTAGATTTCCTTTTGTTAAGTGGCTGGTAAAATAAGCTGTGCTGAATGGAATGTATATTCCTGTTTTTATGTCTTTTTGTAACTTAAGGTTTTGCCTAGAGGGATTCTCTATGTTTTGAATCTGATTACCCTGTAAGGTATTTACCATCCTGATTTTACAGAGGTGATTCTTTTACCTTTTCTTTCATTAAAATTCTTCTTTTTAGAACCTGATTGATTTTTCATTGTTCTTAAGATCCAAGGGTTTGGGTCTGTGTTCACCTGTACAAATTGGTGAGGATTATTACCAAGCCTTCCCCAGGAAAGGGGGTGTAAGGGCTTGGGGGGATATATTGGGGGAAGACATCTCCAAGTGGTCTCTTTCCCTGTTATTTGTTTAACACACTTGGTGGTGGCAGCATAGGGTTCAAGGACAAGGCAAAGTTTGTACCTTGGGGAAGTTTTTAACTTAAGCTGGTAAGAATAAGCTTAGGGGGTCCTTCATGCACGTCCCTAGAGTTCAGAGTGCGGAAGGAACCTTGACAGGAGTCTAACTTTAGGTTGCCAGATTTGGAAATTTTGACTGAAGGTTAGTAGCATAGACACTTAATGATTTTAAAGCATGGTGCAAGTTCACCCCTGTTGTAACTCCATTGGGGCTTACAGCAGGGATGGATTTGACCCTGTGATTTGATTTGATTTAAATCTGACTGTGCCCTAATAAATGGGAAAAGGAGAAGAATCCAGAGGGATTCTCTCTCCTTCTCAAGATCTGGTTGCAATCCAGATACATTTGCTGTCAGAGTGCAAAACCAAATCAATAAACTATAAAAGCAATAAGAACTAAATCCAGATTCTTTTGACGTCAAAGGAGAGTTTTGCAATTGACTGCAATTTGATGGGGTCAGGATGTGGCCTTTAAAAGAACAAATTGAGTTGAGCATACCTGGGGCCTCCTTCTTCCCTTGGGAATTGTCTGTGTATCTTGAATTATAATCTTGGTAACTAATGCAACTGTAACTAGTGCAGACAAGACACACAGCTGCCTAGTTTTATGCAGCTCTGTGCCTGACAAGTCATTGATCCTCCGGCACACCCCCTGCCTCAGGCAGCAGTGGCAGGGTACTCGGAGGGGCTGTGGCTAGGTGCTGGGTGACAGCATCTGCAGGCCTAGAATTGGGAGTCTAGGGCCAGGACTGAGACCCTCACTGTCTATCTTTTCCTTCTGTCTCCTCCTCCCCTCCAGCTGCTCCTTCCTTACCCACTCAGATCCAGCAGGGTAACAGAGAGATGAGATGCAAAGAGGCCACCTTGCTACCTGCAGAACAGATGCTGAAGCAGCCTCCAGCAGAGATGGGGAGCAGAAGCTGCAGGCCATCCCTGATGCCCCTCTGGCTGCATGAGGATCCAGCTGGGCTGCAGGAAAGTTAAGCAGGACAGGGATGCCAGAGCTGAGAGCATCACTTCACAGTCCAGAGGACAGACACGTTTGCTGCTAGCTGTGTTTAAACTGTGGCGCCAACCTTGTCATTACACAGCCAGCTAGCAGGATTTTAAAGAGGTTACACAGTGCCCACACTGGGTGCTAATGGTGTTTTGAAATATTGTAGCTACTTTGAATGTTAAACCCACATTTTTTCCTAGTCAAGTCAGCTCCCCTAGGGTTAAATATGGACCAGCAGCAAATGCTTGTGCCCTGCTTATGCTAGACCTGACAAGCGTGATCATTAGCATGTGTTAACACAAGGTTGTAATTCCACATGTAGACAAACCCTGACATTTGTGCCTGAACTATGGGACGTTCTGGGCAAAAATGAAAGTGAGAAAGACACTGTGATCCAGTGGCTGAGGCGTAGTCAGCTGAGAGGTGGCAACCTGAATTCAGATCCCTTTGCCACATCAGGCAGAAAGAGAAGTTGAACCCACATCCTGGGTGAGTACCTTAAGCACTGGGCTAAAGTGTGCTCGGTGAGGCTACTGCCTCACCCTCCCCCGCCTGCCCACCACCTGGTGTGCTCTGAGAATGCCTCCAGGATGGGCCGCAGAGATGAGATAGGTGGGGGAATGCCTAGAGGGAGACTCCTACTGGGACTTAGGACTGAGATGGCAGTGTGCATGCCCAGTAGCAGAAACTTAGGTGCCGCCGGGTCATTAACAGTGGAAATGTAGGCACCTCCATGTGTAGGTGCCAGCTGAGTGGGGCTTTGAGAATCTCAGTGGCACCCAAATCCCAGATCTGTTTGTGGATCTGGGCCTTAGGCTCCTGAGTCTTATTGAAATTCAATGACATTGACATTCAGCCACTGGAAAGTTTTGCTGGCAGAGCTATATCAGACAGGAGTGTGGAAAAGTAAGGGTGGCAGGATCTGGTCCAAAGTAATTACTTTAAGGTCACAGAAACTGATAACTGATACAAAGAATCCTAGGAAATAAGGTAAGAAATTGGTATATTAACAATTTCCAATAAGAATCTATTATTATTTTTTGTTGGCTATTATAATCAAGGATGAGCTAGTAAGTCTAGTGCACTTTGATAACTTGCTTGTAATGTACTTTTGAATTGCTCTTGGACATAAATTCCTAGGTAATCTGGTGCTCTTTCTAGAATCGCTCTTTAGAAACCCCCAATTCTCTCCGAATTCACCTGTTCATTGTGGGATGTTGGTGGTTCACAAAAGCTATTCAGAGACACTTTATTCCGCTTAAAAATGGTTCTCTTTCAAGATGAGGGGGGAAGAAGATTTTTTCCAGGCAGGAATAAAAGAAATACTAGAAAGGAACATGCACACATTGTAAGCAAATCACATTTCAATGAATACACTCAAGTAGCAGCAATGGTCAATTGTTTGACTGTTGGGTATTAAGGTTTTGCTTGTAAAAATGGGGAGAGTTAAGTTTAAATAATGTAGGCCCACTTCATTGTTGTTCTGCATCTCATGTTGTCATTTTTGTCAGTTCAAACCAAGTGCAAATCAAAATGGTAGCTTTGCACTAGTGTAAATAATGACACCAGGTATAGGGCAGCACTAAATCAGACCCTATGTCTGTACTGTATGGCTCTCAGCTTTGTACATATGATTTTGTGGTACTAAATCTATCTCCTCAATCCATTCATTACTGTAACACAAACAGTATTTGCCCACAATAAATAAAAATATGTACAAGTATCCAGCATATGAATCTGCATCCTCACTGGTTTTATTTCCAAGGGTTACTGCATCTAAATTTGCATTTCAAATTTTACAAGAACATCAACTGTATACCAGGTGAAAGGAATGACAAAGTTTGACAGTATTACATGTTGCTGCCAAAAACATTCAAAAGATGTCTAGTTACCCATAACAATATGTTACAATTGGTAATGATGCTATTCTGATGGAATCACTTACCAGCTTCATGATTCAAACATGTGTTCATTTAATTAAGTAGTAGAAATGTTTGGCCTTTTATCACTAGAGTAGGTGTAGACACTCATCTCATTTGCAATGGAAATTAATACAATGGTTTAGCTCAGTGATGAGCTCAGGTTTAATAGCTGTCAAAGGAAAAATGTACATTTCCTTGTCTCTCTGTCAGTGTGTGTGAACAGAAGCTCAGCTAACTTCAGAAAGCTGGGAATCCCTTAGAAGATGAACTTCTGAAATAACCTCTTCTAATGTGAAAATGAATGGCTGCCAAAACAAATGGATGACCATGACATATTGATTGCAAAGTTTCCATTGATGCCTCACAGTCAAGAGCAAGTTCCTGGCTCCAGCCTGGAAACATGTAAGTTGCTTGATACATATAAAGAGCTAAAAGTGTTCCTCATGTCTATGGTGTTCAGGGCAGGAAGGGGGAGATTTTCAGGGACACTCAAGTAGAGCAGGCACCCAGCTCTCATTGTCTTTCAATAGGAGGTGCATCCACCCTCTGTCCTGATTTCTCACACTTCTCTGGTCACCTAGGTGCATCCTTAATTGCTACTTTTGTATTTGTGGAAGGGGGAGATATAGTCCCCCTTCCACATATAGTCCAAAACACAAATTATGTAGGGACTAGGGCATTTCTGAATGCTGATTAATAGCTTATTCCACCCCCCACCCCCCACTGTTCCTCAGACGTTCTTGTCAACTGCTGGAAATGGCCCACCTTGATTATCACTACAAAAGGTGCTTCCCTCCCGCTCCCCCCGGCTCTCCTGCTGGTAATAGGTCACCTTAAGTGATCACTCTGGTTACAGTGTGTATGGTAACACCCATTGTTTCATGTTCTCTGTGTATATAAATCTCCCCACGGTATTTTCCACTGAATGCGTCCGATGAAGTGAGCTGTAGCTCACGAAAGCTTATGCTCAAATAAATTTGTTAGTCTCTAAGGTGCCACAAGTCCTCCTTTTCTTTTTGTGAATACAGACTAACACGGCTGCTACTCTGAAACCTTAATTTTATCTGTAACTCTGCGCAGTCCATGGCATCTGATCTTTGCCGCTGGAATGCAGACCACTCCGCACTCGTCATATTTTGGCAGTGTTGTTTACTAGAAAAATGAGCAAAACTGATGAACCAGAGACAAACAGGTAGCACAAGCTCTTTGGCTGATGGGGATGAGCATAGCCCGTTTGACCTCAGTGGAGCTACACTGCTTACTCCTCCTTATGTGACATCTCCATTACTGAAGGTTTGCAACCATGGTAACCCATTCTGTAGAGTCCTCTGCTAATCTCTTTGTGGATGAATAATCCTTTGATCAACCCAGGGTACCGCATTTTTTATCGAAGATCATCTTTTCCTGACTTGTGTTCTTCTGCCATTAACGTTCCCTTCCAGTGCCCATACACATGCATTGCCCTCTGACCCTCTTAAAATATGCCCTACAAATCAAACCTCTCTTTTCATAAAATATCTAACTACCATTTGCTGAATTCCAATAATCTCCAGTACTTTTCCACTGGTTACATGGTCTCGCCTTGATATTTTCAGAATTCTCCTGGAACACCATAATTCGAAGGATTGTAGTCTCTTCATTATTGATTGTTTGAATGCCCATGTTTCACAGCTGTAATTCAGCACAGACCAAAAGGAAGTTTTTAAGAGTTTGGGGATGCTGGACGTGAGCTCCAGAAGCTCCCTAGAAATGGGAGGGGCCACCGGCACCTTGATGATGGCCCTGCCCCCTGCTCCATCACAAGGTCCTTCCCCACTCCACCTCTTCCCCCTGCTCCACCCCTTCCTGCTCCACCTTTTCCACCGAGGCCTCTGGGGAAGAGGTGGAGCAAGGGTGGGGGTGTGATGGGGTGGACTAGGCCCTGATGTCCCTGCTGGAGGCCTTGTGGCCCCGACACCCCCCCCCCCAGAAAAGGGCAGTAGAGACGTCCTCCAAGCTGCCTAGAATGGCTGTGTGGGAAGCAACCAATCAAGGCCCAAGCAACCAAGCAGGCTAGTATAAGAAGATCTGCAGAGCCAGACTGAGAACAGGTCCTTGCTAGAGCTGGACGAGAGTGGATGGCTCAGGGCTAGCTACTGGGACTCCCATTAGAACAAGGCCCTGAGGTAAGGGTGAAGACGGCACGGGGAAGTGACCCAGGGAATTTAGAGAAGCCGTGTGATCTAGTTAAAGGGACACAGCAGATGGCTGCTCTCTACAGGGTCCCTGGGCTTTGACCTGGAGTAGTGTGTGGGCCTGGGTCCCCCCCAACTCCCATTAGTCACTAGGGTAAGTGGCCTGGACATTGAGGCACCCCCAGAGGTGGGAACTGAACTGCAGTGGCCCTGCTAGAGAGTTGTGGCCAGAAAGGTCTGAAAAGGGCAAAGACATTACCTCCAGGGAGGGAGCCTTGGAGCACTGCTCTATCCCAGAGCAGGGACAACTTGTGGGAGACATTACAGGGGGAACTGAGAGAGATCCCTGTTGGACTTGTACCCCAGAAGGGGTTTTGCTTTGCTTTCATCGCACAGACAGATTGTGTGTGACTCGGACAGAAGGCTGAGTCTCCAAAGACACACCACCGAGAGAGAGAGAGTGCAAACACATGCACTCGGCCAGGGGGGCGCTCGCGAGAGGTGAGTACAACTCCATGACATGGGGCCACGGGGGAAGTTGGGACTGGATGACGTAGGATGGATCTATTCCATTCATTTCCTCTGAAACACCTGGCACTGGCCACTGTCAGAGGACAGGATACTGGGCTAAATGAACCATTGGTCTGACTCAGTTTGGCCATTCTTATGTTCTTATTTCCCCCTGATTCTAGCTTCACTGTTTCTTTCCAGAAAAGACAATGAGACTTTTCACTGTGCTTTCCCCTTCTACAGTACTTGCGTTATCTGCTGTTGGCCCTTTACTAGCAGTTTCCCACTGTCCCGCTGCCACAGCATGTCACAGTTGCAGGGTTAACTGTTCCTTTGACTCCACTCCTGGTCTTCCTCGAGGGCACCCACTTAAAGTTTTCAGGCTTCCTAGACATCACCTCTCTCAGGCAGAGACCTGCTTCTCTAGCTCCCTCCAGACAGAGGGCTTGCAGTAGGCCCTCTGCACTTCACTCTGATTTCCTCTTGTGGTTAACCTTTCTCTGTGGGCTACAAGAAGTGTACACTAGTTACCAACTAACCTTAACAAAGCAAAGCATCTGTTCTTAAGGCAAAATCATTACTGAGAAAATACATAAAAAACAATGACTGTTCCGAGATCACCCATCAGTCTTATGGGGCTGTAGCAAGCCAAAGTCTTTCCAACCCTTCTGCAAGCGTTGGCTCCCCCTTGGACAGAAGGTCCTGTCTGTTTGTTTGTTGAATCATAAAGGAGGCCCCTGAGTCACCCCAAACTCAGCCTTTGTATACCAAAAGCCCTTTCTTCGCTTCCTGGAACACCCAGCCTGAACCAGTCTAGGCAAACCTCCCTACTGGGTGGTACCTCTCTGGAGGTGTTTACAGCCTGAGTGATTCATTTCAGTTCCGAGAGGAGCTGTGGTAACCCCCCACAGAGTTGCATAGACTCTCTGGCTCACAATGAGATCTAAAACATCCATAAACTTAATACAATATATGGTCCCCCAAAGATACTGTATCTGTCCCGTGGCATGTCAAATAGGCATTCTACAAACAACAGCTATAGAGCAGCATTTCACAGAAGACTTAAAACCTCCTTCTTCCAGCAATGTTTTCCACTCTGTCAACATCAGCGAGCACCACTTCACACCGCAGGCCCCAGAATTGCATTCTCCTTTTCTTACCTGATCCGCTGTCCAGAGTTTTATCTCATCTAACAGCTGTGCCACTGTAAGCCTGTTACTGTACACAGGACCTTCAAGGTAAACCCTGCCAATGCTTTATTGGTGTTATAAGAGTGGAAGTGTGAGTGGTTGGGGGAAAGAGAGAAGTTGGCTCAGGGTAGGGAAATCTGTTTTCCCCCTAGTTGTAAAGGATCTTGCACATTTATGGCCTCTCTAAAAACCATTTTAAAATTAGCAATAACAATGTAAGGGATGTTAATTACATGGTATGGTGGATTCCTTACATTATATGGCCACCCTGTAGCTCAGCACAGAGCAGAGACATTGTCATAAATATTAAAGGAAGGGTAACCACCTTTCTGTATACAGTGCTATAAAATCCCTCCTGGCCAGAGGCAACATCCTGTTACCTGTAAAGGGTTAAGAAGCTCAGCTAACCTGGCTGGCATCTGACCCAAAAGACCAATAAGGAAACAAGATACTTTCAAATCTTGCAGGGGGATGGGGGGGGGAGGTTTTTGTTTGTGCTCTTTGTTTACGTGGTTGTTCTCTCTTGGGACTGAGAGAGGCCAGACAGAAATCCATCTTCTCCAACCCATCCTAATCCAAGTCTCCAATATTGTAACCAGTATAGGTAAGCCAGGCAAGGCGGATTAGTTTATCTTTTGTTTTATGTGAATTTTCCCTGTGTTAAGAGGGAGGTTTATTCCTGTTTTCTGTAACTTTAAGGTTTTGCCCAGAGGGGGATCCTCTGTGTTTTGAATCTGAATACCCTGTAAAGTATTTTCCATCCTGATTTTACAGAGGTGATTCCTTTACCTTTTCTTTAATTAAAATTCTTCTTTTTAGACCTTGATTGATTTTTCATTGTTCTTAAGATCCAAGGGTTTGGGTCTGTGTTCACCTGTACAAATTGGTGAGGATTAT